GGTGGTGCTGGCATCGTTGGGGTTTTTTTGGGGGGGAAAATGGGATTTGGAGAGGAATTTTTGGGAAAAAATGGAATTTGGGGGGAAAAATTGATTTGGAAAGGGATTTTTTTGGAGGAAAAATGGAATTTGGGGAGGGATTTGGGGGAAAAAAATGGGATTTGGGGAGGGATTTTTGGGGAAAATTGGGATTTGGGGAGGGATTTTTGGGGAAAATTGGGATTTGGGGGAAAAATTTGATTTAGAAAGGGATTTTTTTGGAGGAAAAATGGAATTTGGGGAGGGATTTGGGGGAAAAAATGGCATTTGGGGAGGGATTTTTGGGAATAATTGAATTTGGGGAGGGATTTTGGGGAAAAATGAGATTTGGGGAGGAATTGTTGGGAAAAATTGGGATTTGGAAAGGTTTTTTTGGGAAAAAGTGGGATTTGGGGAGGGATTTTTGGGGAAAATTGGGATTTGGGGGAAAAATTTGATTTAGAAAGGGATTTTTTTGGAGGAAAAATGGAATTTGGGGAGGGATTTGGGGGAAAAAATGGCATTTGGGGAGGGATTTTTGGGAATAATTGAATTTGGGGAGGGATTTTGGGGAAAAATGAGATTTGGGGAGGAATTGTTGGGAAAAATTGGGATTTGGAAAGGTTTTTTTGGGAAAAAGTGGGATTTGGGGAGGGATTTTGGGGGAAAAAAGGTTTTGTTGGGAAAAAGTGGGATTTGGGGAGGGATTTTGGGGGAAAATGGGATTTGGGGAGGGATTTTTGGATAAAATTGGGATTTGGGGAGGGATTTTTGGGGAAAATTGGGATTTGGAAAGGTTTTTTTGGGAAAAAGTGGGATTTGGGGAGGGATTTTTGGGGGAAAATGGGATTTGGGAAGCTTTTTTGGGGAAAAGTTTGATTTGGGAAGGGATTTTTTTTGGGGAGAAATGGATTTAGGAAGGGATTTTTTTGGGGAAAATGGGATTTGGGGAGGAATTTTCGGGAAAAAATTGAATTTGGGGAGGGATTTTTGGGAAAAAATGAGATTTGGGGAGGAATTGGGAAAAATTGGGATTTGGAAAGGTTTTTTTGGGAAAAAATGGGATTGGGGGGGGAATTTTTGGGGGAGAAATGGATTTGGGAAGGGATTTTTTGGGGGGAAAATGGGATTTGGGAATGGATTTTTGGATAAAATTGGGATTTGGGAAGGGGTTTTGGGGAAAAATGCAGATTTGGGAAGAGATCTTTTGTTAAAAATGGGATTTGGGGAAGGGATTTTAGAGGGAAAATGGATTTGGGGGCAAAAATGGATTTGGGAAGGGATTTTTTTGGGAAAAAGTGGAATTTGGGGAAAAAAGAGATTTGGGAAAATGGATCTGAGAAGGGATTTTGGGAAATACAGATTTGGAAAAGGGTTTTTGGGGGGAAAATGGGATTTGGAGAGGGATTTTTGGGGAAGAAATGGGATTTGGGGAGGGATTTTGGGGTAAAAAATGGGATTTGGGGAGGGATTTTTGGGAAAATGGGGGTGGGAAGGGATTTTTTGGGGGAAAAATTGAATTGAGGGAAGGGATTTGGGGGGAAAATGGATTTGGGAAAGGGATTTTTGGAAAAAAATGGATTTGGGAAGGGATTTTTTGGAAAAAGTGGAATTTAGGGGAAAATGAGTTTGGAAAGGGATTTCTTTTGAGAAAAAAACAGAATTTGGGAAGGGATTTTGTGGGGAAAACGGAATTGGGAAGGGATTTCTTTGGATAAAAGTGGAATTTGCGGAGGGGTTTTTGGGGAACGTGGGATTTGGGAAAGGGATTTTGGGGTAAAAATGGATTTGGAAAGATTCTTTTTGGGAAAAATGGAATTTGGGAAGGGATTTTTTGGATAAAAGTGGGATTTGGGAAGGGGTTTTTGAGAAAAAATGGAATTTGGGGAGGGTTTTTTGGGAAAAAATGGATTTGGGAAGGGTTTTTTTGCATAAAAATAGGATTTGGGGAGGGTTTTTAAAAATGGATTTGGGAAGGGTTTTTTTGCATAAAAAATAGGATTTGGGGAGGGTTTTTTGGGGAAAATGGGATTTGGGAATGGATTTTTGGATAAAAATGGGATTTGGGAAGAGGTTTTGGGGGAAAAAAATGGAATTTGGAGAGGTTTTTTTTGGATAAAAATGGGATTTGGGGAGGGGTTTTTGGGGGGAGAAATGGATTTAGGAAGGGATCTTTGGGGAAAATGGGATTTGGGGATGGATTTTTGGATAAAATTGGGATTTGGGGAGGGGTTTTTGGGGAAGAAATGGATTTGGGAAGGGATTTTTTGGGGAAAATGGGATTTGGGAATGGATTTTTGGAGGAAAATGGAATTTGGGGAGGGCTTTGGGGGAAAAAATGGAATTTGGAGAGGGTTTTTTTGGATAAAAATGGAATTTGGGAATGAATTTTTGGATAAATATGGGATTTGGGGAGGGATTTTTGGGGAAAATGGGATTTGGGAATGGATTTTTGGATAAAAATGGGATTTGGGAAGGGATTTTGGGGAAAAAATGGAATTTGGGGAGGAATTTTTTGGGGAAAAGTGGATTTGGGAAGGGTTTTTTTGGATAAAAATAGGATTTGGGGAGGGTGTTTTGGGGGAAAATGGGATTTGGGAATGGATTTTTGGATAAAAATGGGATTTGGGAAGGGATTATTGGGTCGCAAATGGATTTAGGGCAGGCTTTTTTGGGAAAAAAAGTGGCATTTGAGAAAGGACTTCGGGGAAAAATGGGATTTGGGCAGGGGTTTTTTGGGTAAAAAGCAGAGGCTTGGCTGTGGGGCGTCGTGGATTTGTTCGCATTTATTTCCCATTTCTTTTCTGTTGATTTCTCGTGGGTTGATTTATTTTTCATTTCTTTTTCACGGATCGATTGATTTTTTTTTTTTTAAATGGATTTCTCGTGGATTTACTTTTTCAAATTCATTTCTCATGGATTTATCTATTAATCTTGAATTTATTTCGCGTGGATTTATTTCCTATTGACTTAGTGTTTCTATTTATTTCCTCTTTATTCCCCGTGCCTGCCCGAAACTCGCCGGAAACGGCGAAATCTCCCCGATTCCTTTTTAGGTGGCCAAAAATTGGGCGTTGGGGTCAGCTGACGTCATCAGGTGCCCCATGGTTTTGCCCCAGATTCCTCTGTTTTCCATAAAACAGCAAAAAGAGCCATTTTTGAGCTCCTCCGAGGACCGCGTTGGTCCAAGGCCTCTGGTTGGGTCAATGGGACGCGGTGGCCGTGGTTTATTGGCCAACGGGCCCTGGGGTGGCCAAGGAGGGGGACGAGGGAGCGGGAGGAAGGCCCCGAACCCCCATGGACCCCTCTGGTGCCCCCCCCCCAGGCTGGGACGGTGACGCGGAAGCTGCCGGAAGGTCCACGCGTGAAGGCCGAGGGATTCCTGGGGCGGTTCCGGCCTGGACCAGTGGCCCAGTAAGGTCAGTGGGCGGCACTGGTTTTGTCCCAGTTCATCTCCTCCATCGTGGTTCCCTCCTCTTGCTCTGGGCCTGGGCCTGGGCCTTTGCTCCAGGCCTGGGCCTTCCTCCTCATCCTCCTTGGGCCTCTCCTCCTCGTTGTCCTCCTTGGGCCTCCCTTCCTCTTCCTTGTCCTCCTCCTTGTGGCCTCTCTTCCTCCTCTTCCTCGTGCCTCTCATCATCCTCCTCTTCCTCGGGCCTCTCTTTCTCCTCCTCATTGCTTCTCTTCTTCGTTCCTCCTCCTCGGGCCTCTCTTCTTCGTTCTTCCTCCTTCCTCGTGGCCTCCTTGTTCCTCATCCTCAGGCCTCCCTTCCTCCTCCTTCCTCCTCTTCCTCGTGGCCTCCTCGTTCCTCCTCCTCGGGCCTCCCTTCCTCCTCCTCCTCCTCGTGGCCTCCTCTCTTCGTCCTCCTCCTCCTCCTCAGGCCTCTCTTCTTCTTCCTCCTTGTGCCTCCTCCTCTCTTCCTCCTCCTCCTCGGGCCTCTCTTCCTCCTCCTTCCTCGTGGCCTCCCTCCTTTGTCCTCCTCCTCCTCGTGGCCTCCTCTCTTGGTCCGCCTCCTCGTGGCCTCCTCTCTTCCTCCTCCTCGGGCCTCTCTTCTTCTTCCTCCTCCTCCTCAGGCCTCTCTTCCTCCTCCTTCCTCGTTGCCTCCCTCCTTCGTCCTCCTCTCTTCGTCCTCCTCCTCCTCGTGGCCTCCTCTCTTCGTCCTCCTCCTCCTCGTGGCCTCCCTCCTTCGTCCTCCTCGTGGCCTCCTCTCTTTGTCGTCCTCCTCCTCGTGGCCTCCTCTCTTTGTCGTCCTCCTCCTCTCCTCCCCCTCCCCGCGCCCGCCTCTCTTTGTCCTCCTCCTCCTCGTGGCCTCCTCTCTTTGTCGTCCTCCTCCTCGTGGCCTCCCTCCTTCCTCCTCCTCCTCAGGCCTCTCCTCCTCCCTCACCCCTGTCCCCCCTCACAGATGGAGAAGGAGGAGGAGGAGACGCGGGAGCTGCTGCTCCCCAACTGGAAGGGCAGCGGCTCCCACGGCATCACCATCGACCAAACCGACGACGGCGTCTTCGTCCGGCGCGTGCAGCAGAACTCCCCGGCCGCCAAGATGGGCGTCGTCAGGGAAGGTGCGGCCTCGGGGGGGGATTTTGGGGAGAAATGGGGGTGGGAAAGGGTTTTTTGGGGAAAAAATTGGGTGGGGAAGGGGTTTTTGAGGAGAAAATGGAGTTTGGGAAGGGTTTTTTGGGGAAAACTGTGGTGGCGAAGGGTTTTCTTGGGGAAAAACGGGGGTAAAGAAGGTGGTTTTGGGACAAAATTGTGGTGGGGAAGGGTTTTCTTGGGGAAAACACAGAAGTAGGGAAGGGTTTTGGGGACAAAATGGTGGTAAAAGAGGTTTTTTTGGGGAAAATGGAGTTTGGGAAGGGTTTTATGGGGAAAACTGAGGTGGGGAAGGGGTTTTGGGGACAAAATGGAGGTGGGAAAGGATTTTTGGGGAGACAAAGTGGTGGTGGGGATGGGGTTTTTGGGAGATAACGGACGTGGGGAAGGGATTTTGAGGGGAGAACGGGGTTTTGGGGACAAAGTGGTGGTGGGGAAAGGGATTTGGGCCAAAAATGGCGGTGGGGAAGGGTTTTTTGGGGTAAATGGAGGTGGGAAAGGTGCTTTTTGGGGACAAAATGGATTTGGGAAGGGTTTTTGGGGGACAAAAGTGGTAAAGAAGATGTTTTTGGGACAAAAATGGTGGTGGGGAAGGGGTTTTTTGGGACAAAATGGATTTGGGAAGGGTTTTTTGGGAGGAAAACTGTGGTTTTGGGACAAAATGGTGGTGGGGAAGGGGTTTTGAGGGGGGAAACGGTGTTTTTGGGACAAAATGAAGACGGGGAAGGGGTTTTTGGTGAGAAAATGGATTTGGGAAGGGTTTTTTTGAGGAAAAATGGTGGTAAAGAAGGTGTTTTGGGGACAAAACTGAGGTGGGGAAGGGGTTTAGGGGGAGAAATTGTGGTGGGGAAGGGGATTTTGGGACAATGGTGGTGGGAAATGTGGGGTTTGGGGAAAAAATGATGTGGGGAAGGGTTTTTTGGATAAATGGAGGTGGGGAAGGGGTTTTTTTGGACAGAATTGATTTGGGAAGGGTTTTTTGGGAGGAAAATGGTGGTTTTGGGACAAAATGGTGGTGGGGAAGGAATTTTTGGGAGATAACAGAGATGGGAAACAGATTTTGAGGGGGGGAAAGGTGTTTTTGGGGCAAAATGAAGACGGGGAAGGGGATTTTGGTGAGAAAATGGATTTGGGAAGGGTTTTTGGGGGACAAAAGGGTGGTAAACAAGGTGGCTTTGGGTACAAAACGGTGGTGGGGAAGGGGTTTTTGGGGACAAAATGGATTTGGAAAGGGGGTTTTTTGGAGGAAAATTGTGGTTTTTGGGAGAAAATGGGAGTGGGGAGGGGTTTTTTTGGGGGAAAAAGGTGTTTTGAGACAAAATGGTGGTGGGAAAAGGGATTCTGAGGGGGAAAGTGGAAGTGGGGAAGGGTTTTTTGGGGACAGTGGTGGTGGGGAACGGGTTTTGAGGGGAAAAAAGGTGGTTTTTGGAACAAAATGGCAGAGGGGAAGGGGTTTTGGGGACAAAATAGTGGTGGAAAAAGGTTTTTGAGGGGGAAAATGATGGGGTTTGGGGCAAAATGGCAGTGGGAAAGGGTTTTTTGGGGACCAAGTCGATTTGGGAAGGGTTTTTTTTGGGGAAAAAAGGGGTTTTTAGGACAAAATGGTGGTGGGGAAGGTGGTATTTTTTTTAGGAAAAATGGATTTGATAAGGGTTTTTTTTGGGGGGAAAAAGGTGGTTTCAGGACAAAATGGCAGTGGGAAAAGGGTTTTAGGGGAAATATGGAGGAGGGGAAGGGTTTTTTGGGACTAAATGGTGGTGGGAAAGGGATTTTTGAGGGGAAAAAAGGGTTTTTTGGGGAACAAAATGGGTTTGGGAAGGGTTTTGGGGCCAAACCAGGCTCTTTTTGTCCACCTTACGCTGCCTCAGCTTCCTCTTCCTCCACATTGGGCCTCAACCCAAGGCCTCCATTGCGCGTGGTGGGGCCGGGGGTCTCTTTTTCCTGCCTCCCCCATCCGCTGAAATGTCCCCCACTCCCCAAATTTCCCCCCCCCGCAGGGGATCAGATCGTGGGCGCCACCGTGTACTTCGACAAGCTGCAGTCCGGGGAGGTGGCGCAGCTCCTGGCCACCATGGGGCACCACGCGGTGGGGCTGCGTCTGCAGCGCAAGGGGGACAGGTCCCCGCTGCCGGACCAGGCCTGGGCCCACGACGCCTTCGCCCCCGGCAGCCCCGAGGTCGTCCTGGTGAGTGCAGGGGGGGATGGGATGGATCCGGTTGGGGTCCGGTGGTCGATGGTGTCCCCCAGGCCTCAGTTTTGGGCCCAGTCCAGGGCCAAAATGGGGATGATAGGAAGGATCCGGTTGGTGTCTGGTGACCAATGGTGTCCCCCAGGCCTCAGTTTTGGGCCTGGTCCCATTCAACGCCAGGTCCAAAATGGGGATGATGGGAGGGATCCGGTTGAGGTGCGGTCACCAATGGTGTCCCCTAGGCCTCAGTTTTGGGCCCAGTCCTGTTCAACACCAGGGCCAAAGTGGGGTTGATGGGATGGATCCCGTCGTCCAGTGGCCAATGGTGTCCCCCAGGCCTCAGTTTTGGGCCCAGTCCAGACCCAAAATGGGGATGATGGGAGGGATCCCGTGGTCCAGTGGCCAATGGTGTCCCCCAGGCCTCAGTTTTTTGGGCCCGGTCCCATTCAACGCTGGATCCAAAGTGGGGGTGACGGGATGGATCCCGTGGTCCGGTCACCAATGGTGTCCCCCAAGCCTCAGATCTGGGCCCAGGGCCTCGCCACCCTCAAAATGATGAATTTCTTCCTCAAATCCAGTCTAAATCTCCCCTCTTCCAGTTTAAAACCATCACCCCTCGTCCCATCGCTCCATCCCTTGTCAAAAGTCCTGTAGGACCCTTTCAGGTCCTGGAAGGTCGCTATAAAGATCTTCCTTCTGAACACCCCAACTCTCTCAGCCATAGCAGAGCATCCCCGTGGCCTCCTCTGGCCCCTCAACGTCCTTTTTGCGTTGGGGACCCCAAATCTGGACGCAATATTCCAGTATGAATGAATTAATACTGAGGTGGTGGCGTCCCCGTCCCTGGAGGTGTTGAAGGATGCAGCTCTCGGTGCCGTGGTCGAGCCGATGTGGAGGTGTTGGGCCATGGGCTGCGCTTGATGAGCTCAGGGGGGCTTTTCTGGCCTCAACAATTTGGTGATAACCTCCAGAATTCGGAGATAAAACCTCCATAATTTGGTGATCCCCTTTGTAATTCGGTGACAACCTCCTGGTAACCCCCGTAATTTGGTGACAACCTCCTGGTAACCTCCGTAATTCGGTGACAACCTCCATAATTTGATCATAACCTCCTGTCAACCCCCGTAATTTGGTGATAACCTCCTGGTAACCCCCATAATTCGGTGACAACCTCCATAATTTGGTGGCAACCTCCTGGTAACCCCCGTAATTTGGTGGTAACCTCCGTAATTCAGTGCTAAAACCTCATGGTAACCCCCATAATAATTCGGTGATACCTCTGTAATGGGGTGGTAACCTCCTGGTAACCTCCATAATTTAGTGGTAACCTCCATAATAATTCGGTGGTAACCTGGTGATAAACCCCCCCATAATAATTCGGTGATCACCTCCTGGTAACCTCCATCATAATCTGGTGATCACCTCGATAATTCAGTGATATAGCCCCCGTAATTCGGCGATAAAACACCCATAATTTGGTGGTTCCCTCTGTAGTAGTAATTTGGTGCTAACCTCATGGTAACCCTCATAATTCAGTGGTAACCCCCATCATAATTCGGCGATCACCTCCGTAATACGGCGATAACCTCCTGATAACCCCCGTAATAATTCAGCAATAATCTCTGTAATGATTTGGTGCTAACCTCCTGATAACCTCCATAATTCAGTGGTAACCTCCATAATAATTCGGCGGTAACCTGGCAATACCCTCCATAATAATTTGGTGATTAAACCCCCCCATAGTTTGGTGGTCCCCTCCATGGTAATTTGGTGATAACCTCATGGCAACCTCCATAATTTGGTGGTAACCTCCTGGTAACCCCCATAATTCAGTGGTAACCCCCATCATAATTCGGTGATAACCTCCATAATAATTCAGTGATAACCTCCTGGTAACCCCCATCATAATTCGGTGATACCCTCCATCGTAATTTGACAGTAACCTCCTGATAACTCCTGTAATAATTTGGTGGTCACCTCCTGGTAACATCCATAATTCAGTGGAAACCCCCACAATAATTTGGTGATCCCCTCCATAATAATTCGGTGATACCTCCATAATTTGGTGCTAACCTCCATAATTTGGTGATGGCCTCCATGATAATTCAGTGATCACCTCCTGGTAACATCCATAATTCAGTGGTAACCCCCACAATAATCTGACGATCCCCTCCGTAATAATTCAGTGATACCTCCATAATTTGGTGCTAACCTCCATAATTTGGTGATGGCCTCCATGATAATTCAGTGATCACCTCCTGGTACCCTCCGTAATTCAGCGGTAACCTCCGTAATTTGGTGGTAACCTCCATAATTCAGTGATAACCTGTGTAATTCAGTGACAACCTCCATAATTTGATGGTAACCTCCATAATTCGATGGTAACCTCCATAATTCGATGGTAACCTCCATAATTCGATGGTAACCTCCTGGTAACCTGTGTAATTCAGTGACAACCTCCATAATTTGATGGTAACCTCCATAATTCGGTGATGCCCTCCATGCTAATTCAGTGATCACCTCCTCGTAACCCCCGTAATTCGGCGGTAACACCTGCAATTCGGTGACAACCTCCATAATTCGGTGGTAACCTCCTGGTAACCTCCATAATTCGGTGGTAACCTCCTGGTAACCTCCATAATTCGGTGGTAACCTCCTGGTAACCTCCATAATTTGGTGGTAACCTCCTGGTAACCTCCATAAATCGATGGTAACCTCCGTAATTCGATGGTAACCTCCTGGTAACCTCCATAATTTGATGATCACCTTCTGGCAACCTCCCATAATTCAATGATAACCGTCTGGTAACCTCCGTAATTCGGTGACAACCTCCATAATTTGGTGCTAACCTCCATAATTCGGTGACAACCCCCATAATTCAATGATAACCGTCTGGTAACCTCCGTAATTCGGTGACAACCTCCATAATTTGGTGCTAACCTCCATAATTCGGTGATATAACCCCCATAACTGGGTGACAACCTCCACAATCGGGTGATATGGGCGAGGAGGCAGCGTCCCGGCGCTAACGACGCTGCCTTCGTTTGCAGAGCGGCGACGACGAGGAGTACAGGAGGATTTACACCACCAAGATCAAGCCGCGGCTGAAGTCGGAGGAGGTGGTGGCGGAGGAGGCCGGCGGGACGCAGAGCAGGACCATCACGGTCACCCGCAAGGTGACGGCCTACACCGTGGACGTCACCACCAGCGACGTCGACGTCCTCGGCCCTGAGTTCAAGATCCGCATCCCGGGCGACGGCGGGGACGGGAAAAGCGCCCAAGCCGTGGGCTGCGGCCTGGGCGTCCAGCACGGCCCAACGGTTCAATCTCCCGCCCTCAACTTGGACGTCGGCCTCGGCGAGGCCCAAGTGGGACAGGCCGGGGTGGCGGGGCCGGGGACGCCGCCGG